ACCACATACACACATATGTCCCTCCCCCGCTGCAGCATGTTCCGGTCTGCTCTGCCACGCCATGTGGCTTCTCTCGGTAACTACCAACATGAAAAGCTCCAGTGACATCACCATCCACCATCCACAGCTCCATACCCAGGTAAGACCAGCAGGTGGCTCTCCCAAGACCCTCTCGAGGTCCTGAGAAACTCGTAGCGGACGATCGCGAATGCTAGAACTCGTTCGAGAACGATCTTCTGAAACAACCTCCTGAAGATCAAACATACTCTCCCTCGCCCCTTCCATCGAGTTGGAGGTAGGTATGTATGTACATGTACCTCGTACATCGGCGGGCGTGTATCTATCTGTTCACATTTACCCCTCCTCCATCCTGGCATCACACTACGGTGACTACCTGGCTGGTACCCTTTGTGAATACCACCCCCCCTCACAGTACTGATGGCACCATCTAAGCAATGCCGTCCGGAAATAGCTTACAGGGTCGACACTTGGCAAATGCACGACATCGACGTCGACATCGACATCGACAATCGTGGTATTTGCTGTCCATCCAATGACAAAAGGTCTGTGAGAGAAAGGTGCAGAATATCTCTGTGTTTTTGTGTTTTTGGATATCATATCATGACGTGGCAACGCTGCCCTTTGAACCTTGTGAGCAGGAGTTCCTCCCCGATGAGATGACCACGAAAAGGAAGTCTACTTCTTTCAGGACGAAAGGCAGGTCTATTCAACACGAATAAACGTCGTTTATTCGTGTAACAAACGAGATCATTCACCTATACTTTTCCAATACAGCCGTGCGCATTATGTGGAAACACATGCGGTAGGTCAGCGGCGGGACGACGACAAGGGAACGCTCTTTATGATGAGAATGTCTTACCCACGGCTTCGTTCTGGCCCACAGTGCGGTGGTACCCAGGAAGATGTCCCCTTTACATGGCCCAAACGATCACCGCTTTCAAAAATGGACTGGACGACCTCAACTACAATTTCGCTGGGGTCCTCCTCCCGGCCTAGGGTCGATATCTCGCCAACCTTTGGGCCAGGGATGACATTCTACAGGAAGCGCTGATACCGAAGATGCTCAGCGTCCTTCCCCTGCAGGGTTGAACTAGCATATCGATCAAATCTGGTGGAGCGTCGCCAATTGACTAATGTCCGTTTGCAATATTATACACAACCAGACACAGGGATCATGTGCTGAAGACGATCCCACGGTCAAAAAAAAGAGGGGTATAGAAGTCAAGAACGGTTCCAGTCCGGAGACCTAGGGGTGCTCGCAGAAGATCCAAGTTTCGTAATGCACGTGCGTGAGTTTCTTCGAGGGAACCCAAGGACACTCCCAAACTCCACTGGCTTTTACGTTGCTAGCCTTTGCAGATAAAAAGACTGTATGTGTAGCTTATGTCTATCTATCGGGTGCTGCCACGCTGCCTACGTGCATCACATTGGTGCTAGAAAATTGGTTGATCTCGTCCTAGTGTCAATGCCAGCCTTGCCTTGCCCGAGCCACTCGCAGACGCCAACGCAAAAGCATACCCTGTAGCTCTCAACTGTCTCTCGCCTTCTGCATAACTGCGCAACACATTGGTCGTCGAGACCTCTCGCCAATACCAGGAGCGGGGCCTGAATTCGAGCTTCCACATTCTACCCAGAAGATCGCTTTTCAAGTACGCAAGCTCGCCCGCTCATGCAACATTCCAACGGGATCGATGTAGATAAGGATAAATGAGACTGTAGGTCCAAAAGTCCAGTCTACAACTTGTTGGGCGTGCTCTGGGTGTTCCACTGGTATCCAGCGGCGTCGCTGAACTTGTAGCCATAGGCGGCGATGAACTCATCCAGGACAGCCGGACCACGAGAGCCTGCAGGGAGGGATCATGTTAGCTGCAATCTAGCAAGAAACTTTTCGAGCAGGACGAGGCTTACCATAAGGATATTCCATTGGCACAATGTCCTTTTTGGTGTCCAGGTACTGCAACAACGGCGTGAAGATCCTCCAGCTGGCATCCAACTCATCGTCACGGACGAAGTTGGAATGATCTCCTTTCATCGCATCGAGGATCAGACTCTCGTACGCCTCAGGAATCTTAAGGTCTGAGAAGCGGCGACGGTAGGTAAGATCCAGCTCAGTGACAACCGTCTGCATGGACAAGCCGGGAAGCTTCGAGTTCATCTTAAGATAGACGGATTCGTTGGGCTGAATGCGGATGACGAGTTCGTTGCGAGGAATATCCTTGAAAATACCCGAGGTGACATCCTTGAATTGTACGCGAATCTCAGTCTTCTGCTCGTTAAGAGCTTTGCCGGCCTTCAGAATGAAGGGCACACCGTCCCAGCGTTCATTCTTGATGAAGGTTACCAACGAGCAGAACGTCGGACACCGCGAGTCCTTGGGGACTGTGTCATCTTCCTTGTACGCAGGTTTGGTCCCATCTAGAGACTTTGCGTACTGTCCAATGATGGTGTTCTTAGGCTCGATGGCTGGGATAGCCCTCAAGACTCTGACTTTTTCATCACGGATGTCTTCAGCGGAGAAAGAGATTGGCCTTTCCATAGCGAGGAGAGTCAAGACTTGTAGTAAGTGGTTCTGCATGACATCACGAATGATACCGAACTCGTCGAAATAACCACCTCGTCCTTCAGTACCAAAAGGCTCCTTGAACGTGATCTGGACGTTGTCGATGTGGTTGCGGTTCCAGGTCGCCCCGAGAAACTCGTTACCAAATCTGAGGATGAGCAAGTTCTTCACCATTTCCTTCCCGAGGTAGTGGTCGATACGGAAGATCTCTTCTTCTTTCCAATCGGGCTCGAGGCTGCGCAAATTCCAAGGTCAGTCTGGCTGCAGTTGCCGACGATACAAGCTTGCCACTTACGCCTTCTGCAACTGCCGTGAACTTGCCAAATCCTTGCCAAACGGCTTCTCAATGATAATTCTGGCGATGCCCTTTGTGGGGTAGCAGTTGCGCTTGAGGTGTTCCGAGACTGTGATGAAGACGCTGGGAGGGAGGGCCATGTAGAAGACTCTGTTGCCCTCCTTGCGATCCTTCTCAATCTCTTCGATATGTTTGTTCAGGGTCTGGAATGGCTCATCTTGGTCGTATTGCCCAGCAATGTATGTGCAGACAGAACAAAATTGGTCGAGTTGTTCCTCAATATCTTTTGTAGGAGTCTTTATGTAGGATCGAACTCTTCGCAGGTATTCAGCGTGATCCATTTTGGTTCGGGCATATCCGATGATCTTGATGTCTTTGGGGAGGAATTTGTTGCGAAACTGTCGTTGTAGACGTGTCAGTCAACCTTCTCAAACACCACAAATTCAATGGGAGGGCAACGTGGAACTGACCAGGCCGAACAGTGCTGGGAAGGTTTTCTTCTTTGCCAGATCACCCGAAGCGCCGAGCACAACTATAACCGTGTTCTCCTTGAGTTCGATGGAACTGTCAAACGGTGGTCCGCATTAGTGAGATCCCATTCAACAATTTTCTAAGGACGTCGGGGGGGTGGGGGAGAGCGGGAATCGACACCGCCGTGCCTTTACCGATGTACTCACCCTGCATCTCCCAGCTCATCGGCATGAATGATGGTGTCGGCCATGGTGACTGAAGTAATAGGCGATGTTAATGAATGAATGAGATAGAGATGGAAGTGAGATCAGCAGAAAAAGTCGGCTCAAAAATTTACTGAGATGGTGTTCTGTCAATATGCGGTGGGATGGACGATTAGCGGCGCCAGGGTGACAAAGCTGTGCTGGTCGCCGGAAATAACAATGGGGGAATTTGGGCAATGACTGCGGAAGCCGGACTCTGATGCTGTGAGTAGTTCCGCCGCGGTCGAGATTGATGAGGTGCCGCTACTCAATGCTGGGCTGAAAGTTGAGTAATGTTTGACGGTGATGGTGGGGCAGAGCGCACTTTGCACGGGGGGAGGACAGCAAAGGCACTGGGGCGGTAGATAGTTACCTTGGTTGTTCAGGCAGCTCCTTCCCTACACCTTAAATTTGTCCCTTGGTGCCCCGCGAATGCTTCGAGACCGCCCTCCGGAGTTTGGCTCGGCAATAACAATCCCGGTGTTGAGGCACTATGGATATTGGTGAGTTTTCGTTGACGTTTCGAGTGCTATCAGCACCTACAGCAGAGACGAAAAATGAAACGACAGGCATATCACTGCTCAGCGCAGGCGGCATGAGTTTTATCAATGCAAGTATATCTTGACAAGCAAGACCCAGATGGCACATTTCGTCACTAATCAGTCAGCATGCCAGCCGCCGCACCCATGAAAGCCCATGACTGAAGCACCCTCCGCTTGGTGTCGTTTCCTAGCCTATCGAGAACCCATCTGCCACCCTCACCAGGCGGAATCTTCGGCTATCCCCTGAGAACCCATCTGACCTTTCCTCGTGTTTGCCTGTCGAGGAGATTGAGTTGCTTCGTCACTGTACCACCCTTATGTAATCGCCTTCTCCCTGCAGATTTCTAAGTCTGGACAGTTTCTGGAATGCCATTGAGCTCTCTGGATTGGTTTGGTCCAACAATGCCTTGTCCAGAGCCAGCTTACCATCGTCTTCGCTCAGTGGAGATGGTTGTAGGTTTCGCAGCTGAGAAATAGATTCCTCAAAGAGAAATCGAGCCGCTTGATTGCCGAGGCACCAGAGTATTAGCCTGTTATTATTCCATGGTCTCTGCGACGGCACGCAACGGTGATTCCTTGACCGATTTTGTGGACAATTTAGGAATAGTCTACTTTGGCGCCGTGGCACCCTCGATATAAAAGGTAAATCTCGGCGGAACAGCTAGAAATCCAAATCGAATCACGTGATTTAACGAAATCTTGGCAGGCTAAGCTTGACACAGACTAGTTGCACACAATCCCAATTTTCGTAGGCAAAGACCGCAGTCACAACCACCAACATTTCGAGAGTTGGACGAGACATCCAAAGAATCGACCACGTCCCATTCACTTTCAGCTTTTCGTCGTCAACCAGTTCTCACGCCGTCAAGATGGTCTCCGCCGGCGGCCACAGATGTACGTGCATCCCCCCGACTACACTCTCCCTGCTGTTCCCTGTAAAGAACATCAAATGTCGCAATTGGGATTTGACCATGACATTGGTGCAATCAGCAAGGCGGCAAGAATGTGTTGGGATCAAAGCTGACCATCCTGGCGCCGTATAGTATATGTGAAGGGCAAGCACCTCTCCTACCAGCGAGGCAAGCGCAACACGAACCCAAACACATCGCTACTCAAGATCGAAGGTGTCGATGACACGAATGCTGCAAAGTATGTTTCTGCCTCAATCTGAGCAACCGCGCTGTCTATCTCTATCTTCTTCACTTCCTCGATACGTGGTCAATTCGAAGGAAAGGGACAGAGCAAAAGAGGAGGATCGGGGTTTGAGAGCTTGGGATCATCCCTTTGCGCATACCTCGAATACGCACCTCGCTCTTTCTAGAGTTCCAGCTCCAGATACCACGCAACTTTCCTCCGTCCTCGATTTACATTCTCGCCCCACGTTCTTTTTTTTTTGAGGGATATGCAGTTTGCTGAACTGAAAATCTTGCGAGCCTTGAAACGATTTTGTTCACTAACTTGTGATACTGCAGATTCTACCTGGGCAAACGCGTTGCATATGTCTACCGTGCTTCGGCAGAACGACAAGGCAGCAAGATCCGCGTGATCTGGGGAAAAGTCACCCGCCCTCACGGCAACAGCGGCATCGTGCGCGCCAAATTCCGACATAACCTCCCACCCAAGAGTTTCGGCGCGGGCGTGCGGATCATGCTTTATCCCAGTTCGATATGAGTTGGTTGCCTTTGAGTGGATGGGAGGGGGGAGTGGTGCTGATTTCCCCACGCCAGAAGATGTCCTCCCGGGCGTCGGATGAGTGGTGATGGGCATTGGGAATGGATGGACTGGTGAGAGGGGCGAGTAAGAAACATGATTGACCGATCACGAACGAGGCGCAAGCGAAAGAGATATCAGCCTCGGTGCATGCGAGGTATGATGGGGAGAAAGTCTCGTAATCGCCCTATGCCTGGTATGCTTAAGAGGTTGAGCTAGACAACGAAGCCTGTCACTGTGGGCCTTTGGCTCCCCTCGAAGGTGATGCCCCTTGGCACAAGAAATGGTGGGAATGCTGAGATGCCGGGAGTGGTGCGATTGCTGCTGCTGCTGCATGGCATTCACGGGAAGAGGCACAATGGGCGCAAAAATGACTAGTCAACTTGGTCGCGAGTTTCCCCCAGCGCAGCATTTGTTTCATTATGCATGTGCTACGGAATGACACACACAAAAAAAAGAGAATCTTTCAACATTGTCGGCTCTAGGGCAAGAGGAGTGAGTCGAGTTACTCACCCTCCCTGCTCTTTTCTTTTCTTTTTTTCCTTGCTTTCCTGCCCTTCTCTGCTTCAAGACCCTCATGCTCCTCGAGATACTCACTTGAAATCGCTCGAGCATGAGCTTGTCGTGACTTTCCACTCCGACGCCAGGTTTGCGACCCCCTCAATGAGAAAGAGTGGGTAGGTTACGAGTAAGGAGAGCTACTCGATAAGTTTTGAACCTCAACTCAGAAAAAAAAACCCTTCGATGTGTCATGTCGTAGCCATAACGATATATTACATTACTCCACATCTATCATGTACCGACCCAGTCTCACCAGCCCGAGGACACGTACATACTGTAGGTGGCCAAGGCGATCCCAAAGTTCTCGCTCGCCGGCGAAATGCTCACGTCCAAGTAAAAGTGCCCCAAAAGTCGCAACGTTCGTGACGCTGATGGCTCGCTCCCTCGCGGACAGAAATAGTGCGTCTATCTATACACAAATACGCCGTATATCACAAGAATGCAGCCGCCCTAATATATTGTTTTTCCGGCCAAAAATTTGACAAAGACAAGACGATTTCATGAAGAGTCGGGTCCTCCGATCAGAGGTCGGACTAGGGCGTTGGCGAAGAGGGCGACACCCCAGGCAACGCCTTCCCCGACGACGCTGCCGGGACAGAAGTCGGTTCCCGCGTTGATGACGAATGCTGTTCGAAACATCGAGTCAGTAACATGCATAAAACGGGTACCTCATGGTGCTATAGGAGGAGACCCGGGGGGGGGGGGGGGGGGGGGGGGGGGGGGGGGGGGGGGGGGGGGGGGAAGGATCAAAGCTTACTGCTCCAGATGACCCAATTCGTTGCAAAGACGCCGACCATGGTGATGCCGGCAACAGTAAAGACGAATCTCCAGAATGTCGACAGCGGTGAATCCGCATCGATGTACCCAACCATGTTATACATGATGCCATTGGCGCGCTCCTTCCTGCTCCTCGAACAGGCGTGGCCCAACATAACCACCCCGAGGAGCACACTGATTGCACCGGCACCGGCGATGGCATAGAAGGAATTCCAGAAGCGCAGGTATGAGGTGTTGTCTGAACAGACACCAGCGCTCAAATTATCGGGTCGATGCAGGATATACCAGAGCGCAAAAGGCAGACTGAATATGTTGAGCAGTGTGTCCTCAACTGTATGGTCCTTAAGCGACCACAAATAAGTATTCTGGTTTCCCTTTTGGCCAAAGCACACGCGGGCGATGATAAAGTATAGGAGCGTAAAGACGGTGGCTCGGGGTCGCATGGTCCAGAAGCCGAAGAGCATGAAGGCATTGGGACGAAAGCCATTGTTTCGGAGAAGGTAGGTAGCAGCAAACATGGCCGCGATAGATATAATGGCTGTGACAACACCCGCAAAAGGTGTCCACCGAGCGCTGGGAAAGCAGCTGTACCGGGCAACGGCTCTGCGGACTCGCTCGTGGCCTACCAGCAGGCTGATGTTAGCTTGTCATGAGTGGGACAAAACAGAGGGATAACTTGGTGCGAACACACGGAGTCTTACCAAAGATCAAGGACAGTAGGGCTACTTCGGCGTTGAAGATAGCAATCGACGCAAGGAGAGAGTAGGTTGTGGGACAGTTGGTGAGGTCAGCTCTGTCAACAAGGCCCTGTGGCATACAATTGACATTGTTGGCCATATCAACAGGGTGCCGGGTAAGTAGGCTGGCAGCTGGCTGGATAAGGCTGAGGCGCTGAAATGACTGTGATGTGGGAGCCAGCAAATACAGTCCTACCGACACTGGCGAATGATTCTGCTTTGAGAGACTTTGATCGAGTAAAGATCATCGGGCTGGAACATTGCGATTAGCAGGGCAATATATACGACCATGTTTGCCCGGTAGGCGACATGATGGGAAGACATGTGTTTGGTGGGGGCTGTGCCTGATTCGAAGCCTCAAGAGGCTTGCAGGAATCTCGTATTCTGCTGTACATGACCCCAATGAGTCCTACAAGGTATCCACCTGTTGAGGGTTCTCGAATGAGAGCCTGCATGAACTGGCACCACCCTTACTAGTGGTCAAGAGCTTCAGTGAGGGACTTCAAGGGAAGCCAACATCGTCGAAGTAGATTGGCCATGCGGGTGTTTCTGAGGATGATTGGGTCTGGCCGCATTAGGTAGCGCAAGCCTGGCCTTTTTCATATATGTCGTTCAAAGCGTTCGTTGCGCACCTTCACGGTCAATGAGGCAGTTGAGCTTCTTCCGTGAATACACGATCAAGTATCCCCAAACAAGTTCCAGCGGGGTAAGCCACTTTGGTATATAAAGAGCAAAAGTTCTGGTAGAAAGAGAATGTAGCTGATGGAGCCGGATTGAGATGACGACCAATGAGACCGGCTTTGGACTAGGCTTGGTGTGAAAATGCTGAACGAAACTGGCAACTCTCTGCAGGGCTGGTCGAGACAATGGGCTGAGGCGGCGGAGCGAACAGGGGTCGCGCAACTTAGTTGTCCAATGGTGGAATGGGAGCAGAGCCAGCCACTCTCTAGCCTCATCTAGAGAACGCCCAACTGGGGGCGATGCTTGTTGAGTCCCTATTGCACTGGAGCCGTCCGTTCCGGGTGATTAGTGTGATCTTATCAGGTAGGACATTGTTCTTTATAGATCGAGGTGCTCAGGTCAAGTGGTCTCAATAATCTCTTTTGCCACGAAAGTCAACTGGACAGGAATGGCTGCAATGAAGTCGTATTCCACATGACAAGGCTTTTATCAAGTCAAGTGCTTCAGCCGTCTAGCAGCTTCGGCTGAGATCAAGGAGCACAACGCTCCGATGAACATACACACGGCGATTGCATTCGGCGCGTTCTTTTTCAGATTGAGCCACCGATCATGGTTGGAGACCTCATCAGCGACTGGGGAATGCTGGCTTGGTTCTAGGATCGAGAAGACAATCCAACTGACAAACGTCCCGACAAATTGTGGCAGCGTTGTATATACATTCAACACACCCAGGTAGACGCCCGCAAGCTCTCCTGTTGAGGAATGGGCGTCACCTTCATCGGGATGATTGAGTCGCAGCACATCCTCGGAAAAGGTCCTGCGATGTTGTCGCGCGATTTCCATCTCGACACCGTAGTTCTCATCGATGCTGCCACGGACAGCGGTATAACCAGGCACAGTTGAACCACTGATATTGGTAGGAAATCCAGAAGACAGCTTATTGATTTCGATACCCAGCAGGCCAAATGGTGCCCAGCACGATATGGCCCAGGGTACGCCACAAGCAGCTACCAGGAAGCTTGCAGAAGGAAGTGTCCGGACCCATGGGGCAAATATCGTGATGATGGCAAAGGAAAGATTCGATAAACTCCACGCCGATATCAAATCGGGTCGAATGTCGTATGCCGCCGCTAAAATCTTTTGGAAAAATTTGGGAATCGAAGCAGGGGGCCTAGGGGTAAATTTCGTATCGGGTGCTTCCGGTGATTTGATGAGGAATGGGAATATGACCGACGCACAGAAGGTGGTCAAGGAGAAAAACACCAATGCGAGGCTACCTATCCGGCCGACATTCCCCAGAGAGTCTTGTTCATCCTCGACACCCAGTTCGCGAGCAGGAGCCTCGTAGCGATAGTAGATTTCTCCGACGAATGTGCTTGAGTAGAACAGGAAGGGAAACCTTAGAACCGGTACATTAGTCTCTCGCCCGTCGCTGACAACCACTAAGGGCATTTAACTCACCATCCAACCCAGTTCCAGAATTGTACCCAGCATATAGCTCGTATGCGTGTAGGGAGGTCAAATGTCTTCCGCGCAAGACCTAAGAGTACCTCTTTCACCGAGGTATGGTCGTTCTCGCTAGGTAACCTCACTCTCTCTGTAACAGCCCAACAGCTTATGCCCACGGTGGACCATAAAATCAATGTTGCAATAACCGTCATTTTCTTGAATTGAGTGTCACCTCCCATCCAAGGTGGGAACATCGCAACCAGATCAAAAGTGCCGACGAAGTAGCTGGCTAGATGACCTGCTGCGACCAGCCTCGATGCCCACGCAGATCCAGATTGTTGCTGCGAGACCGGTAATGTATCGACAATCAAGCTGCGACAACACGCCTGAACTGCATTGATTGAAAAATCGAGGGTATAAATGCACATAACGGCGACCAGGATGGTCATGGTCTTTTTCATGTCGCCTTCGGGTAGGAAGCAGCCCACAAATTCAGATGTCCAGCCCAGCAGCAGCAATCCGCCACCTGTGACTATGGCACCCCCGACCATATAAGGTCTTCGCCTGCCGTATCTTGACGTTGATTTATCCGCGTAAGCCCCAACAATTGGTTGCATGATCAAGCCTGAAAGTGGTCCTGCGATCCATACTAGGGATGTTTTCGACTTTGTGAGACCGAGCTGGAGAAGATAGGGAGTTCCGTAAGTCACTGTCAAACTGCTGTTAGCGTGCGGAATGGAATGAACACCGGACTAATTTGTCCAAGGAGAGGGACATACTCTCCAAGCCCCAGCAGAACCTTTTGTTGAGCACTTGTCAGTTTCACAGATTCGTTGCTAAAACCGGGAGGGAAGTAGTGTCACATACTGAATGCCGACCAGCGAGGCGGCGAGCAAGCACATACGGATGGCTTGAGTTGAGCCTTTGATGGAGGGCGTGCCACTCCATGTTGCAGTTTTCTCCATTTCATCGAGGGGAGGAGGGAAAGAATGGGAGGAAACCGTGTTGCGCTGACCGCGTCGGTAACAAAGATATGGGCGCACTGGATCGTAAGAACTGCAAGTTCTCTTCTGTCACCAGCGACGGCCACGAGGGTATAATATTAGATTCCATGGCCCTGGAAAAGGGGGATTTCCTTATCTCGGCGGTGGATGCCATTTTGTCTTGGAGGTCGCGTGTCACATAATGAATATGTAAAAGGTTGCGCAGACGCGTTTCTGTTTGTCCGCAATGACGTATTCTGTCCTCTTCGCAACGAGCACACAATGATTGACGAGATCAGTGTGCCAAAAATCAGGCACCCCGGACCAGTGATCCTGGCGAGCTGGGTGCTCTGGTTTCAAGGGTGTGAACCTTCGGACTATTACTTTTACGCTTGTAAATGCTCCGGATAACAGATGTGGAAGGTTTAGATTGTGGCACCCACGTGGTGATCGATCACCCAGGCACTCCTTATGCAACCATTCTCCTTCCTGGCTGGGTCAGCTACATAAATTGACATATGTTTTTGGTCTATGACAATGGGTCGTCTGTGACTAAGACTGCGAATTCCACGCTCTATTCAGGCCTGGCCATCACTTCTTCACGTAATCTTCCGAGGTTGCACCACTCCCTGGATGAAATCAGCCAACAATGTAAGGCGCCACAGATCAGACAGCCGCACCGGAGATGAAGAACCACTTGTCAACGCTGCCGTCGATTGGCGCAGGGGGGATGTTCTGTCCCGGAGGGATCTTGGAGAGTTGAGATGGATCGACACGATCTGGGGAGCCGGTATTCGTGACATTGGCCAAATTGATATCACCACGTTGTTGCTTGCCGGTGACCAGACGTTCCCAAGCGTCACTGCATTCACGGATAATCTCCTCGGCGTACTTCTTGTTCTTGCATTCACCACTGAAGGCGAATTGGTTCTCAGGCTTTCCATCTGGGATCTTGTAGATGCGGAACCATTCGTTTGTCGCTCGGAGCAGGCCAGGAAGATGTCGCTCGACGTCTTCGATATCGTTCAGCTTGGGGGCAAGAGGATCGTTGACCTGTAGCGATATTAGCATTGGAAGGATGAAAAAGATACGGGCTTTGACAACTCACATCAATGACAATGATCTTCCAGTCAGTCTCTTCTTCATCGAGAAGTGCCATGACACCAAGGACCTTGACCTGCTTGATCTGACCAGTGTATCCAACCAGCTCACCAATTTCGCAGACATCCAATGGGTCGTTATCACCCTTGGCCTTGGTTTCAGGGTGTACGACGTTGGGATCCTCCCAGGTCTGTGAACTGGTTAACTTTTGAATCCCATCTCTTTCGTCCTTGACCGCCACTCACTCTTGGGAAAGCACCATAGTTCCAGAGGTAGCCTTTGTGAGGAAAGCAGTTGCGAACGAATCGGAGCTTCCCTTTCTTGACGTCTTGCTTGATGGGGTTCAGGAATTCGTCTTTGGAGATCTGGCGAGCGGTCAGCCACTGCATTTACATTTTTGAAGACTTTGGAAGTTCGAAGTTCGAGATTTCTTACCTCCAGTTTTGCGTTGGACCATCGGGGGATCTCGACGACCATGTTCAAAATTGTTTGCTGCTCGTTTGCATAGAGAGGAATGTCATGGAAGGGCGAGACCGGAGTGCCATCTTTCTCAATGTAGCACCTGAACTCATTTGTGTGAAGAGCACCAATTTTTCTGGGCTGGTATTCCGAAGGCTGTTTACTGTACGACATCGTGGCGGACGCTGGACGTGGTAATGAAGCAGAAGTAGAGAGGTGCCGAGCAATGGCTTCTGAACGTTGGGAAGCTATGGTTGTAGAGGTGGAGTGGCGGAGGGGAGGAGAGATGGAATTTTCTGTCGGCTTGGTGGAAGCCAGGGCGAATGTGCCAGTGAGGTAACGATGAGCAACCTTGTTGGAGGTAGGGGCGCGGGGTGGGAGGCACAGTGTTGACAATTGGCGGTGAAATGACGACTGGTTGTGAATGGACGAGAAATCCGGAAGGCTGCTGCAGGTGCGCGAAGTGTGACTTCTAGACAGAATGCCAGACACTCGAGACATGTGCATATGAAGGATGAAATAGGCCAGACTAGACTTACTATCCGAGGGATCTAGGACTTTAGTCTCGCCTTACGATTGTGCAACATTAATATTTCCACCTCGGTCGGTGAGAACGACCAGAGCTTCCCATACTCCGAAAATACTATTGAATTTTGATCTGGTATCGATGACTGTGTTGCCACAGTCGATCCCGAGTTTTTAGCTATCTTCACGTGATGGAAGATGGACTTTATCTCCACGTGATACCCGTACATGTTTGCCGCCTGCGCAATTGCGACGTCTCTAGATCTGCGGACAAATCGTTTATTTGGCTTTTCCACATTTGATTCACCACTGCGCTCCTTATGACTGTCGGCCATGTTGTTCGGCCGCAGTCTCTGTTACGACGCACTCTATCCCTCCTAGACTACCTTTGGCCCTCTCTAGCTCCGAGAATGGCAACCCCACTCCCATTCAAAGATGTTCCTCATCTCCCTATTCCCGCGAAAGGCATTGACTACCGGGGAAAGATAGTTCTCGCTCCCATGGTTCGGTCCGGGGAACTTCCATCACGTCTTCTGGCTCTCAAATACGGTGCTGACCTGGTATGGGGTCCGGAGACGGTTGATCGATCTATGATTGGAACTACTCAGAATACCAACCCTCGCACTGGCTGCATAGAATGGACGCGGACTTCCAACAACAATTCAACAAGTGTGATATACCGCATTGACCCACAGAGAGAGTCGGACAAATTAATATATCAGATTGGCACCGCTTCGCCCGACTACGCCGTTCAAGCTGCGACACTCGTTGCTCCGTATGTTCGTGGGATTGACGTGAATGCTGGGTGTCCAAAACCTTTCTCTACTTCAGGTGGTATGGGCGCGGCACTGCTTCGGACTCCTGATCATCTGTGCAACATCCTCACAGCTCTCGTCACGAAAGTGGGAACGCCTCATGAGATCGGTATCAGCGTCAAAATTCGGTTATTAGAGACACCTGAACTGACCTCGGAGCTTGTCAACAAACTGTGTAAAACTGGCATCATCGGCTTGACCATTCATTGCAGAACTACGCCAATGAGACCGCGAGAGCGCGCTATCAGGGATCAGCTCCGGATGATCGGTGATATATGTAGAAGCCATGGAGTCGCTTGCTTGATGAACGGAGACGTGAGATCTCGTGAGGAAGGGTTGGCTTTGGCAAAGGAGTATGGGGTCGATGGGGCAATGATCGCCACAGCCGCCGAAGCCAATTCATCAGTTTTTCGCAGCAAGGAGAACGGTGGATTGGCACCGTGGCGAGAGGTGGTCAAAGAGTATTTGCAGCTTGCGATGAGTGTCGAGAATAAGTGGGGTAACACGAAATTTCTCTTGTCTCAGCTCATGCCTGGAAAGAATCCGGCATACCAACCGGTTCAAAAGTCGCGAAGCTATCAAGAAGCCATTTCGCTTCTGGAGATTTCTGACCCCGAGATTGTGGCGAAGGCAGCAGAGATCGATCACATTCTTGGTCTGGGAACTCCACAAACAACCAAAGCAGATATCAAGCGACAGCACAGACAGGAGAACCGAGAGAACCATTTGAAGAAACAAGAAAAGAAGAGGGTCCTGGAACAAAGAAGTGACGAGAACGAACACATTCACCAGGAGCGGAACAAGAAGCAAAAGGGCGAAATCGCAGCAGAGAATGCAGGATTCGATGGAGTTGGCCAGGGTGCTTTGGCGGTAACAGCGTGAGCTGGCAGTGACAGTGTACGTCCATGGGCACCGATTCTCAAAGTCTGGAATCGCTTTTGATCCAGAACGAAACCACCACTTTCGTTGCACCACGCCTGAATTGGCATGTACGCCCGCTGCGTGGGTTTCTACAAGACGTGCAGAAAAGTCTGGTGTCACGGAAATGTCTCAAGGCACCGAAACCCCCCTCATGGGGAGATAGGAGAGATCTGATGTCGCTTGATCTGCTCCCGGAGCAAGATGTATCGAGACGGATTGTGATCCTCTGAGGTGCTCCGTTCAACAAATTGACGGCCCTCAGCTCACGAAATGCCTGTCGCACCACCATCACATGGGGAGGGAGAGGACAAAAAGGCATTCGGAGCTTTGGCCCTTTAGCGAATGATCTTACCTGAGCCATATTCACTCGAGCTGATTGCGCGGAGACGCCACAAGGCCTGGCCAAATAGTCCTCGGAAGACACGTTGAACCATTGAGTAACACAATCTCTGTGTTCCACTTTTGCCTGTATACAAGACATAATCCCACTTCATGTTTTCCCGCTCTGAAACACGATTCACAATGATTCTGTCACCAAACTATATATACAACAGCATCGAAATGGGCATAGCTGAAGACCCAGAATTCTTTTTGATACATGCTGATTCTTCTCGGAAAAGTCATCTTTTCTCGCCAACGTCGCCATCCTGAAATCCATTGATGTTGAGGGACATATCCGGTATTGTCCCTTCAAAGGGAAGGTAGTATTCGCATGCCTCCGTGCCCGCAGTGACTTGGGCACCCATCTGCCCTCCTAGGCTCTTGTGACATCTGAGACCGAGGTTGCTGTATTTTGTTCGACGTTGTAAGGAGCAGGGATTGTACGCTGGCGTGAGCTTGAATGCCATGCTGGGTGCGCCATCGATCTCCGATGGTCTGGCTCCAGGACAGACCACCCGCGAGACCATCCACCTCATAGTACGCTTCAGAAAGGTTTGTATACTCTCCGACATCGAGACCCTCATCAGCCGGCCAGCTCCTCCTTTCTTGCCAGTACTCTTGCGTGCCTGTCAACTTCCTCCACAATATCGGTTAGCGTGACCTTCTCTCCGGATCCCTTCTTCGAAGAAGCCTGTTGCGACGCCTCGGCACCCCATGAGTATTTCACGACTTTGCCGTCTTTGAATCCGAGTTCCAAGGTGCTGGGTTCGGAGGAGCTTCGGGGGAGTGCAGTAGAGGAGATCTTGAGAGTTTTGTGAGCATCGGCGGGGAGTAGGGTGAGGAACAGCCGAGGAATTTTGGATGATGCACTGAATGGGTTGAATCTCGCTTTTAACGAGGTCAAATATGTCGTTATCATGTTTGCGGATCAATGGGTGGCTTGCTACGTATTTTCTTGGAGGAAAGACACAGGCGCATTGGAATTGTTCTCGGAAAAAGGTAGCTAGTCCCCAACCCTTCGGCAAACCTGCCCGTTTCCCCCTTGTTTGCTTTGTTTGCACCGTATGCATCGCCTTTCTGGATACATGTCAACCTCTCAAACAGGCACGAATCCCCAGTTGTCATTGTGTGCAAAGATGTCCCTCTCCCTCTCACAACGCCTTCAAGCGTTGGCAGACTCCTTCAAAGAGATATCCTCCCAGATCCAAGAACTCCGCAAGTTCTCGGCCAGCTCATATTCTACCGGCGATCCAGATGAACGACGTCTCGAGCTCGCTACCGAAATCCATGACGACCTTAAGAAACAAGAAGATAGGTTAGACATCCTGAGGCAAGAATTTGAAGATGATGCCATTCCGAACCATCGGCGAGACCTCTCGAGCCGAGAAAGTGAGCGGGAAAGAAATGCCGACTTGTTGGCGCGACTCACAGAGGATCTGAAGAGCGCGCGGGCCAATTTTCGAAAAGCGCAACTTCAAGCGAAGAGGACTGCAGATGCAGAGAAGCGGAAAGAGAGAGAGCTGTTGTTTGCAGACCGGAAACAGGACGGCAAACAGCAGTCGCGGGGAAGACCTACACACGAGAAATTGACGCAGGACGAACTGGCCCTTCGGGCAGCAGAAGACGTTACCATCGCGTTGCGGAGGGTGCACCAACAACTCGAGGGAGAGCTATCAGTCTCACAGTTCGCTCAGCAGACTTTGGAAGAGAGTCAACAGGCACTGGACAGCTTGGCGCAAAGCTATGCGGGAACCACAGATTTATTGAAAGCAAGCAGGGGGTTTCTGGGCCAGTTAGTACGGAGCAACAAGTCAGACACTTGGTTTCTGAGGTCCTCCTTCTATCTACTTGCTGTCACGATATGCTGGCTCTTCTACAGACGGATCCTCTATGGCCCTCTGATGTTGTTTATTTGGTGGCCTTTGCGCATGATGTGGTGGGTCACTTTGACAAGTATGGGAGCTGTGGGACTGGGACGCAGATCTGATGCTATGACATCGCCTGCTGCAGTGCCCTCTGTCACAGTCTCAATGCCTGGCATGAATGCGAGGGGCATGCCAACCCACAAGTCTGGCATTTATTTCAAGAGCATGGAACTCCCAGCGAAAGGGGGAGGTGGAAGAGGGCCACCACCAGAGATTCCACAGCAATACTCACACGAAGGAGCTGCGAGTGATATCATCAAGGAAGTTGAAAGAATAGTCGAAGACCAAGGTACAGATGTAGACGATATCACCGACGAAGAAAGAAAGGCACAACAAGAACAGCCGCGAAACACGTTGAAGAGGATGATGGAAGTTGACGTCGACCGAGTGAGGGACGAGTTATGATTGATGCTATGATGAATTTGGGTTGTGCAGACTCTATTGTATTTTCTTGGACAACTCTTGTGCCCTGCCTGCTGAAGAGGACCTCCTGGATCGCTCAGCCTCGTCTCATTGTGCTGACATCATTTTTGTGCTATACCACTCAACACATCCTCAGGTGTATAGACTAGGACTCTTGTCTGGTATATCCCTCAGGAATCACCTG